GGGGGAGAAAATAGGATGGTTGTTCTCCTGGAAGTGTGATCACAGACGCATTGCCAAACTTGAGGAAAAGAAACTTACCGCAGGCTCTGGTAGCGAAGCATCTCCCGCCGGAAATTCACTCGCTTTCGATGGGGCTTCACTTCCGGTTCTTCGTCCTCTTCCTCGACCAGTTCCATGATGAGGGGGCTGCACAAGTGGTCTTCCCTTGACCCTGAGGGGCGAAACCAAAGGTGTCTGAGATTTGAGAAAGGACTCTCGTTGTTTGAGCAGAGGTCATAAACACCAGAACCCAGGATGAGATGAAAAAGAGAAATCCGGATTTTAAAAACGCAATAGTTCTCTTTAGAAAACGCGTAAACTATTTAACAATAGAATGTAATAGTGTTCTTAGGGATTGTGTTCCGGGTTTTGTAAATCCTCGCCAAAAAATACCTCTCACAATGTTCAAATCAAAGAGACGTCTATGGTATTATACCTTTTGGATGTTCAATAAAGAACGGGATAGATAAGAAGTCTGGCGAAATCTGAAATGTCCTCAATGCTGTAGTTGGTTTCTTCTAAATCATAAATGGGCGAAATATTATTAATGAAAAAAATATACATTTTACCTTCGGAGACCTTTGCAAAGCCAGGGTCATTTTGGTAATAAACAAAGAAGCCGGTGAGTTTCATGAATAAGCATCTAAAGTTGTTCTACTCCAACGTTTGATCTCGGTGGTCTGGTTCATATAAAGCAGTAAAGGGGTATGGATTGGGGATAATTATTTTGTTCCGTCATCTATCTTGTTCACGGCAGCAATATAATTGTGTCGCTCTTTACTACATCTCCAGTATGTGTCTCGCGGTGATCTTTACACTAATGGTTGACCTTTGAAGTGTGAGTGTCTGTTGTTGTTCTGTTTATGGTTTAGTTTCGTTGGTTAGTATTTTTGTTTTCTGTTTGTTGTAGTGGTCTTTGAAGAGGTATAAAAGATTATGTGAGGCTGGATCAGCATAAAGAAATCTTCCGTCCTTTCGTCGGCATGTCCTCTTTTTGGCAAAATACTATATAATTTAAACCTACAATGCACATAGCTGTACTTACGTCACAAGGCCAAGCTGTGGTAAAAGTAATGGTCGAGCACCATTTTGTATTCGCCTCGGATTGGCTCATGTAGTTAGTGTTTACTTTGGAGATTCAGATTACCCACCTCCCGACAAAAGGGTAACCGGAGATACAAAGAGCTTATGAAATGTTCTAGAAACTTTCAGCGATTTCCCAAAACATTCAAAAACAGTAAAACCTTTGATCATCAGTTTCAGATTGCGGGTGATATTAGCTTTATTATTAATAATGTCTTTGAAACTGAAATTAAATTTAGCGGCGTTTCTATGACAACCGCTGTCAAACGTGATTAATAATTTTATTATCCTTTATGGACAGACGGGATATTAAAATCACCTAAGAGAAAGATTGCGGAGAATTAAGAAGACAGGCGTCAGTGGTGGAATGATTTCAGTCTTCGCCGTTGCGTGCAACGAAGATTTTTCTTTTCTTTTTTTTTTTTTTTGGGGGGGGGGGTCATTTTAAACAAATTTTTCAATGCGTTTACATGGAATCTTTTTGTTTATATGCTGTATCCCACGTAGCTTGAGGTGGCCCTGACTGTCAGTCGTACAGCAACCTACTCTAACAATAATCCACCCATGGAGGTCTAGAACACTTGCAATCCCCAAATAAAGATACATGGTCCATCAGCTCATGACCCCCATCCTCTCCTTTTCATAACCCCTCTTTAGATAGGTTTTTAAAAAAAATAGTTTTGACAAACTCTGCTGAGCTTAAAATGAATATCTTGTAGCAGAGCCAGCACTTTTCAACGATTTTATTTAGAAATAAACGGAAACCAAAGATTGTATGCTAAGAATAATTTGAGTGCTTGCAAAGTTCCGTTGACTAATAGAAAAAGGTTGCTCCTTTTCCCTTCCTAAATAGGTTTTTTTATGCTAAGTGAAAACGACAATACTGGTCTACTGTTTCTCAAAGTGCCATCAGCTTTTCCTTGATGCCAATCTGACTTTGTCATAGATCGCTGTTGGTCATTACTATCTGAAAAAAAGGCAAGTCCGTTTTCAATTTTTAAAATGCATTTTAATTAGAACATGATTATTCCAGGTTGAGAGAATAATGTCAATTCTCTTTGCTGGACCCAACTTTGTACAACTTTTCAACTTTTTTTGTGAGCGTGAAATCAACCTTCCTGAGTGTAGAAGGGGAAGGGGGGGGTGTTTCTATGTTGGTATAGGGCTGGTCTACGGTCTGTACAGCCCTGGTTCTTATACAAGATGAGGAGCTTTTTTACTTGGATTGCTTGATGGGGAGTTTCCAGTCCTCTCGGCTCTCTTGGTTTTGTCATTATGGGGAGTAGATGTTAGATTCGGGGGCTTCACTTCATATATGTTGACAAGGGTGTTAGACTCCTACAATTATATGCCGGTTTTCGTCGCCTTCAGAAGAAGCAGACGGCAATGACGTAAAACTGTGCTATTAAAAGGTACTACGAAGGACTAAAAAATTGGCAAGGACAAATAAATAAATGTGTCCTCAGGCGCAAGGGGAAATTTACCTGCAAGTATATATACTTTTTATCTTTATTATTATCCCTGTGGTTTTATGGCAGTTGAAGTAACCCTAGAGATGGTATCAAAATGTCTTGGTATAGGTGCGTGTGTATT